GGGGCTTTGCGCGTGTTGTCGGAAAACTAGGTCCCAGCCTGTCCGTGCGAAACCGCGCTCGTCGATCGTGAGAATTTTCGCTTGCATGTTTATATGTCACACGACAAACACTATAAATATTTTGTGTAAATAGAGTTTCCATGAACTCATGAAGAATTTAAAATTAACTCGGGCGGCAAAATTTTGACCAGGTAAACTAAATAAATACAATTGAAATATAAAATCAATATCAAAGTTTAGCCACTGTCACTGACACTGTGTCTGTGGTGTATTGACTAAAGGTCTCCCCTCTTTACGAGTAAATCTAGTGTTTGACTGAGTAAAACAACAAAGGCCAACAAAGCTATGGATGCATTACAGAAATAAATTACATGCAGAATTGGATAACAGAAAACACTGCCAGATCAGATTTGACCAATTTAGAATGGGTTACTGATTTGACCAATTTCGAATTGGTTATGGATTTGACCAATTAAAAAATTGGTTATGCATTTGACCAATTTCCAATTGGTTATGGGAATTAACCAATTAATAATTGGTTACCCATTTAACCAATTTACAATTGGTTACGGGATTTGACCAATTAAAAATTGGTTATGGATTCGACCAATTTAAAATTGGTTATAGAGATGACCAATTTAAATTGGTTATGCATATGACCAATTTTAAATTGGTTGGGATATGACCAATTTTTATTGGTTATTTTGGGAAATTCAACATTGACTGATCAAAAGAAATTGGTTAAATTTACCATTTTAAATTGGTTAAAAATTCAACCAATTATGTATTGGTCGAAATGACCAATATTTAATTGGTCATGTCAGACTAACCTATTCTTCAATTGGTTAAAATGACGAATTTAAATTGGTTGCAACCAATTTAAATTGGTCATTTTAACCAATTTGTTTTTACTGTGCACGAGACGCCATCAGCACGCTGAAAACATCATGCGTGATCATGAGTTTCCTATCCAATGTTTTTATGATCCATGCATGATTAATTAATAAACGTTTCATATACCCTATATATACTGTATGCACGAAATTAACATACTCACATATGAAATTGAAATTCCTCTATTACCTTCTTCAGTCTACAGCGCTTCAGTCTACAGCTTCTTCAATCTACAGTCTTCAGTCTACTAGCTATTTCAATTAAGGTTGTCCACGAGCATATATATATATATATATATATATATATATATATATATATATATATATATATATATATATATATATATATATATATATATATATATATATATATATATATATATATATATATAGAGCACTCTGCGGAGTTGTTAATGGGTGTCTATTAGCGATAATAGACGGTTTTAGATAACAAGACGTAGACGTCAAGAGGACGTGGATGTCGTCATTTGGCGCCAACTATCGTCAGCTTCTGGTTTGCGACGTCGTCTTGGACGATTTCACGACGCGAAAATACAATTTTCACGTCCTCTCTAGAACGTCACAGATTTTGGCTTCTTTTGAAAAAAATATGAGACTATATACATAATAAAAATCATCCTATTTTGTTCCTCATGTATTGTTTAATGATACTAGCTAAAGTTTTTCCATTGACAAGATTGGATTTTTTTGTATTTCGCCGTAAATTTTAGACGAGTTGATTTTCGACAAGCACTTTCGGTCGCCATAAACAAATCAACAAAATTGCGAACATTGTTAATAACCACTTCAATACCGCTAGTAATCTTCGCCAAAACAAATATTTTAGAACAAACCAAACTGAAGTTATATTGACAACTGTTTAAAATCAGGAAAACGTGGAAAAATAGAAAAACAAAAGCATTTAAAAGCAGTATAAAAACTCGATCAATTTTAGTTGCTCTGACACAACAGTGCAAAAAGTAGAACATGAAAAAAAAAAACCCGCTTTCCAGCGTGAAAAACTATCGTAAACAGTATTAACACTGATGCTATATTTATACTAAACAGTTGACAAACTTGATTGAATAGGCTACAATAAAGCATTTAGCTCGTAAACAATACCTGTATTTATGTCAAATGATGCAACAAAGTTCACTTTTCAAACTACAGAAATATACGTTTTTTTCTAAAAAAAACTTATTGAATGTTCATACTAATTCGTCAGGAAACACTTGGCCAGTATTATATAACCTTTTCTTGCACATATCTTGACAACTGATTGAAAACAATACAGGAATGAACAGGTAACAAGAAAACAAAAATTTGCTTCGAAAAAGACAAACAAGCCGTCCCAGATTAAAACCCGGAAGTGAACGCGAGGTGCATACGTCATTTTCACGTCCTCTTCACGTCCGCGTCTTGTTATCTAAAACCGTCTACTGAAGTTCTGTGTGGGATAATTGCAGAAAAGGTTTTACGGGATAAGCTTAAAAAATTACAGAATCGAGCAGCTGGAATAATTACTAGGAGCAACTACGAAATATATACGCTCTTCCCAAATTTTCCCATGCAGTCATGGTACACGACGTCATGACTACAATTTTGTTATCCCTAAACCAAACACGTGCACCCAGATATCGATTTCTTGTCAATTAAAATGGGCGGCACTCAAAAAATATGGAAAACCGGCAGGCGGTTTTTCACGCCCGCCCTTTTCGCCACGCCTGGCCGGTTTGTCACGCGCGCCTTTTAAATTATCTACCCCTCGAGATAGATTCGACTATTTTGCTGCACCAGCAGCGATTTATTACATTAGGGCAACCAATTGAAAAGCAGTCTGGTTTAATACGCTTACTAGGTACGTGGAATATCCGGATTCTTTCTCCTGCAACTTTTATTGGCCAATTATAATCATCCACTGCTGTCATCTACAAAATTCAAACAGTCTGCAATTAATTAGGATAAAAGAACGTCTTTCACTGTAAGACCATGATTGGTTTATATTTCTTTATTTATATCAAAGGGTAATATAAATTATTGGTGAATTGGTTCTTGTACCCATCGCCAACGTTCAGTAACGTAAGATACATTTTCAATTATAAACGTGTGGACATGCAATTAGAAGGGAAATGACGTACAGCTTATCCTAAATGAACGTACCTTTAACTCGTACCAACAATCATAATATACTTCCTGATTTTCATGAGAGCTGTTAGATGTTATAGCCTAAAGGAAAACACTTTAACTTTAAAATAGTGAGATTTTAAAGTTTTTCTTGAAAACCAATTAAGTGAATACTTTCTATATAAATCTAAACACAAGCTTGCGCGTTCAATAGCGCCGTGGTTAATTACAACCACGCATACTAATTATTGGTACGACACAGATAACTGATAGGCACCCGTACCTAATTTTAACGTGCTAGGATCTCGTTAATAGATTATTATTAAAGGTTTAAAGGTTTATTAAGAAACACATTTTGGCACCCGGAGGTGAATTGCAATATGCTTACAGAAACATAATAAAGGATGAATATCAAATAATATAAATATAGATGTATCGTATATGTACAATTGTTAAAATACTACAATTTTTTTACTATGAAAATTAGCAGTCATTGCTGGTATAAAACTAGTTTTAAAACGTTCCGTTCTGCATTTAGTTAATGTGAAGTTAGAATTGTTTCTTAAGTCCAGTTCATGCGATTCTTCACGGAGTGGGGGTAAGAGGTGATTGAGGTGAGCATCGGGTTTTAAGATCTTTTTGAAAATTTTAGCACATAGCTCTTGACGTCTGTCGTCAAGACGCTTGCATTTAGTGATGTTGAGAGCATCTTCGTAATCTGTTGTCGGATAAATAATACGGAAAGCTCTTTTTAGAACTTTTTCAATTTTATCCCCCAGACACTTCGGTAACATGGTGTGCCAGACAGGACAGGCATATTCTAAGATAGAGCGCACCATAGAAAAGTAGACTAATAAGAGGTCATTGGGGAAAAGACCACAGCGCTGTAGGACACGAATAATGTATAAGCGTTTTGAGGCTTTTTTAACTAACGCTTCAGTGTTATCTTGCCATTTCAATTTATTGTTCATGGTTAAGCCCAAAATTTTGAAAGAAGGAACTAAGTCTAGAGGTAAACCATCAATGAGGAGTC